ATGAAGGGGGGGGGATCTTTAGTTGAGTTCTGCTCTGTGTTATGATGTTCCCATCACACAGTGGCCAAGGCACTCAAAAGATGAAGAGAGTCTTCACAGAAAATAGTTAGATCTGCGAGATTAGAATTGTACAGTTCAGTACAACTCCCTTCCAACACAGACAGGTGACACTAGTAACATTCAGACTGGAAAAATAGTGCAAGCAGGTAAGTGCAAGAAGCTCAAGCAAAGAGATCGTGTCAGCTTTTACAAACGCGGTTAAAAATTACTTTCTAAAAGCTCGTAAATAAATGCTGTTCCTACGGCCACTGTGCTCCCATTCTAAAGGCTGTCCTGTCAGAAGGAAACAGACATGTCCCTCAACTTCCTCGCTCACAAGAAATTTTCAAGAAGTTTTGAAACAGCAGCTAAAAGCAGGACAGCTAAAGAATCCTGTCTTTCAAGCGCTAGCAGATTTCCACAGCAGCATAAATACCACTTCCAGTGAATGCCACTTCTGATATCTTTGCCATAAATAAACATACTTATATTCAATATACCTAGATTTCTTTCAGAATCTTATTAACCCATGGCTAACTTGGGCTATAATCATCTCTAGGCTGCAAGAAATCCTAGAGCACCTTTTCGTTATTGCATTTCAAATATATTTCTGCTTGACTTGCAAGGATTCTTTACTTCATTCCCTCCACATACTTCAGGTTTTACAGTGCACTAAAACCTAAGGGAATGTGTCACGCCTTCAGAGGCCACACCGACATCATAAAAATTTCTTGTCGCTCTACTTCCAGCCAGAATGGAAGGGGTTTCAAAGAGGCAGAAAAGCCTCTCTCCAAACTTAGGTACCTTTTTAAACAAGCACATTCAGAAGATAACCCCCCCCTTTTTTTTTATTGAACCAATGAGATATTTCTGCTACACTGCAATAATCAGTACAAACCACATGATGCAGCATTTCCAAAAATAGAAATGCCTGCAGAACGCGCAGCTTGGTGTTGCTTCCAAGAAGAACAAGGGAAGGAATCCAGCAGCGTTTCGCATAAACGGGAATTCTGAAGGCTGTTTTTCATACCTGATGCTCCAGGAGTAGCAGCGGCTGCAGTATCCTCCATGAGATCTCCTTCTTCCAACTCCATATTACTGCTATATTCCACGTCATTTTCTCCAGACCTGAGGTGATGATTGGGGTGGAAAAAGGAGAATACAATTATTAGCTTCTGTCAGCTCTTGTTAAACCTTATGGCACCTTGAAAACAACATGAAGCACTGTAAATAGTATTTTCTGCATTCCAAACTTCACAAACTGAGCAAATCAAAGTGTGTTAGTTAAATGACTGACTCACTAACCAAGAGTCCAAAAGTGTCATACGTATCTAGACTGTAAAATCTGATCCTGTAAATTCTATATTTGTATGTGTTACAACACATTCTCATGTTTTAAATGAAGATTCTAGGATTTGACATTACCATCTCAGCTAAGAAGTTTAAGTCTTTATTATCACTCTCCTACTACTACAACACTTCCTAATACCAAACCTCTCTTTCGTTACAGTGTAGAAAGATTTTTTCACGAGTGTTTTGGGAAAGAACCTTCACAGACTATCACTTGCCAAAGACAGAATACAACACTAAAATAAATGAAGAGATCGGAAAGATAGTAACTAGCTGACCAAAAATTCAATGTTTAGCGTTAACTGTACTGGTTCATGTTGTTTCCAGTATAGGAAACACCCTCACATTGCACTGGGATCCCCCACACATCATAACTGTGATACAGCAAATGAATCAGCTTCCACTGGAATTAGGATGATTACCCTGGGAGACACGGTGATGATCTGAAAGGCATTTTAAGTTACTTACATAGTTTCTTCATCAATATCATTTTCTTCAGTGTTACTGGTTGCTGTCGAACTAGCTGAAGAGCTGCTACCATCAAGGTGGTTCACCTCGTCTTCTCCAGCAAGATCTATATCCAAGTCACCATCAGAGAGCTCATGCTATAGGAAACACAGAACAAGCCTTTATAAAGAAGAAACATTTCAGTTGCGCTTTGATGCATTCACCAAAAGCTATGAGCAGAAACTCTCTCTCCCCAGAGTGTCACACTATTATACAGGAGTTAGGAGGGTCTCAAAGCACAATAAAAGCTGGTAACAAACAGAGAAGTTGGATTTTTCAGCTGCAACTTGGAAACTTTTTTGTGGTGGGATCTATCAGCTCTGTTCTGGAACATCTGTCTAGCGTCACCTCTAGCTGCTAGCTCTCGAGTGTGTTATCTCCTATTTCCACACAGAGGATAATAAATCTAATTTACAATTCAGAAGTTCACTTATGATTCTACTGCTATGCTGTCATAAAGAGCTATACATAAACAAAGAGGCAGGAAAAAGACAATTCCTACGTTAAAGTCTTCATGCTGGATCTTCTCTTCCTCCTCCTCTTTGCTGTCTCGCACTAATCCTGGAGCAGCAACATTCTCAAGTAGTACTTCAGTGCTTTGTCCAGATTTCTTTGCTCTTGTTTCTGGACCATCATCATTCTGGGGACTAAGATGAGTGTCTGGAGGTGAAATGCCTCGTGATTTCTGAGTCCGGGAAAGTTCAATCGCAAGCCTCTTAAATATTAGAAGGATACACAAAAGTATACGTAGAAGATGACAATGGAGCATCATCATCAAATCAAGTAAGTTTGTTGACTTGCATATGTGCTAGTTTAGTTACGCCAATACCAAAACTACCAATAGCAACAAACACACACAATTGTCAAACACGAACACTGTAACCTCAAACAGGTAATGACTGGTCAGTAAAAGGTGATTTTACATTAATATACATCCCACTTACTTCTTTAAGGTTATTTATTTGTTGGATATAACTTGTCTGAGCTGCTTCCAATTGAGCAATGTACCAGTGTTGATCTCGGCACTTTTGGAAGAAGGTTGGTGAGCGCACTTGGAACCTTCAAAGGAACATTTCAAAAGGGGTTGGGTTTGGTTTTTTTTTTTTTTTTGGTCGTCCCCCCAAATCCTAAAAGCCCTGCATAAGAACATCAGACAACCTGAAATCTAGTGATGAAATAAACTTCACAGACGACATGTACTTCTATACTCAGTATCCCCAACGCACTGAATGGCAACAGTTAATTTTATTGTAGGAGAGGCAGTTACGTGAGAGGTGGTTATCTTCACAAACCAACACTAAAAAAATTCACACACTACAAAGCATTAAACAGGAGCAAGAGTAGGACTGTACAGAGAATATTTGAAGTAGATGGATAAAGCTTCTGTATTTTGTCATAACATTGCAATTTCTATTGACAGTATCAGTTCTCTTACGTTACAGACTTCCTTCGTTCCCAAAGCTCTCCTATGCTCACTACAACTGTTTCTAAAGAGGGAGAAAAAAAAAAATCCTTTTCCTTGAATTCCATTAGCCACAGATCTGCAACCCAGACTCATTAGTGTCAAGCAGAGCTACTTCTCAAAGAAAGAGATGTACTTAAAGTTTCCACAACTCCCTTCAGCACATTTTCCTCTTTAAAGCTTATGACAGTGAAATCCATTTATGACAAAACATGTCACAATTATTTTAAATTCAACTACTTAATTATTTCCTATTTCAGTAGCAGGTGTGACACTTTGTGAAATGATAGCAGAAAAGAACCGTGCTAAGTTGTCTTCCTTACCTTAGGATCACAGTGTCATTTTGCCTGTTTAAATAGCCTTCATTGGCCAGCAAGTCTAAACGGAAGAATCTGTTGTAACCCCAGCATTCTCCAACTTCAAAATCGGAGGCAAACTCTCGAATTATGTTTTTAGTGGGATCGTTGGTGGACTGGTGAACCATTTCTACACGGTACTCATACCTACGCAGGGGAAGATCACAGGTATTAATACCAAAACAAAGATGTCCGGATTGCCGAATGCGTCAAGTTTAACAGAACTGCACCTCCTGGGAGGCTTGCATGCCCAGCTGAAGAGGTGAATCAGTCTTAAAAATTTTACCAAACACTTCTATAAAGAGTACAAGGGGGAAGAAAGTAGTAATAGGGAGCAGAGCGGTAAACCAACTCTAGGATTGAATACTAGGAGGCGGATACTCTTATCGGTTGTTTTGCCAGCTTGCTTTTTATCTCGAGAAAGCCACTGAATAACAACTTTAAAATACTATCTTTGGGCACGACTCAAAGCTCAATGGACAACAGAAGTCTCACTGTTCTTTTCAAGGGTGCTCTGCATCAGTCCCTAGCAACACTACAGAACTTGAGGTCATTCTTTGCAGACCTCTCTAGATGCTTTGCTAATAGAAAAAAAAGAACGGCTGCTCTTACTACAGGTTTGCTTACTTGGATGTCTCCGGCAATCCAGCTGACAGCTCCAAGAACACAGACAGGTAGTAGCCCCGTACTACTCCATTTCCATCCTTGAAACAAACAAAATAGAGAGAGAAATTAATTAAAAAAAGAAAGCAAAAACCAGAAAAAAACAAAAAACAAAACACCTCGATATACTCGTGAAGTTTAGAAAACAGCTTCAATCAATACAGAATTTGTAGCAGTAGTCTACTTTGTATGCTACAGTTTTGATTTTTAGTCTTCTCTGACCTAGAACTCTTACTGTAACTTGAATCAACAGAGTTTGCATCTGGGAGCACATATGCACTCTAGTATTGGTATCTCAGATATAAATCTCAAAACAGAGCTCTAGTTACTCTATTAGCATTTTAGGAGTTCAATTAAGTGGCAGACTGAGTAGACAAACACTTGTCAATGTATTGGAAAAACATTAATTTAACATATAGAAAAAGCAATAAAAAAAGCTCATAAAATCTACTCATCGGTTTATTACAGTCCAATTCTTCTCAAACTCTCAACGTGAAAACAGCTGTCGTGGTTTAACCCCAGCCGGCAACTAAGCACCACACAGCCGCTCGCCCACTCCCCCCCCCGGTTAAACATTAGTTCTGAAATATTTTTACATACAGCTGCATTTCAAAGCCACTTAATTTTTGAAAGAAGAGCAATTTCTTTAGAAAAAACATGCAACATGAAAAAGTTAGGCCAGTTAACTGAGAAACAATATTAGAATCACCAGAAATCAAGAAAAAAATATGGCAAAACCTCCATCATACTCACCTTAATCAAGGATGAAGAATGGCTCAACTTGAATCCTCTAGGTTGAAGAAACATTTCCACTTACCATTTAAAAAATAAATTTTAATGCCTTCTGACAGCACACCTTATGTAGTCAATCCTCAATTTACAATACTCTGAAAACTTACACAGGGGTCCACCTCTGCATTGCAAGAATACAGTTCCGTGCATACGTGGGCTTAACAGATTGCTCCAGTTCTCTGAAGACGCCATGTAAATCACTAACAAACAAAACTCGTACTCCACCACTAAACACATATTTCTCCAAACACAGCTGTAGTAGCAGCCAGAGCTTCCTGGAAGCACTGGCCAGACTAGCGGACCGTAAAAGGGTCTGACCTCATGGGTTAACATTCCAACACTGACAGAGACACTGTTTCTGAAATCTGAATATTCAGCCCACTGAAAGGACATTAGTACAATACACACGTTTTAATGTCAGCATTTGAGAACTGGACACACCGTAAACCAGATTCCCTTTCAACTAATACCTTGCCCTCCTCCCAGCTTCCCAAATAAGGCTTATTCATAAACACAAATACGGTAAGTTATTACAGACCTCAGTTCTGCAAGAGACATCTGCAAAAACCGCTCCGACAAACATTAAAAATGCCTATTAAAGTTGCTATGGCATATCTGTAAGACCCATTTTTAATTGCTTTTAAATTACCCAGATTAACTACAGTGAGAATGTTCATGCTGGTTATCTGGAGGCAGAGAGGGAATACTCCAATGGCTGGTGATCAACTCTGCAATCTTATTACGTTCTTTTCGTGCGGCTTTTTATATACAACATGAGAAGAAACTAACTGATGTTTCCTTATGAGCGAAGCATACGAATGCTGGTTAAGTGTTTTGGATGGGATAACAACTCTAGTTGAAAATGTAACTCACTGGATAAACTTTTAACCTCCAGCAAAGTCCTGACACTTGAAGAGGTGGACTGTAAACAGGATCTGCTCGCTGACGCAACGTACTATTGAGAAAGGAGAAAAAACATTTGCTATTGGGACAAAGCAAAACCCTCCGTGAAACAGGAAGCTGCATATACACTGGCACTCTTACACTCTAGAACTATCCTTCTTGCTGCACAGAGCATAGAGCAGCATATGACGCCCATGCAAAATGTTAAGTGACCGTACAAATATATGTATTCCTTGCAAAATTATTCAATCTTTTTTAAAAAGAAAAATAAGTAGTTTGCCTTTATCATGGAAAGTCTTTTTAGCTAAAAGTTTAGCTAGGGGTAATTGTTGTTCTCCTGGTAAACAAGAGATTTTTGATTGAATTGCTACAGCTTGGTTCGTATCTAACAGTTTTCTGTAGAGACTATTCTGTGTTTTCAAGGATACTACTCATGTATAGAAGAAACGGAAAAAGCTTCCCGATATTCACAGTAATTTAAGATACATTCTTACCTGAAGTTTTCCAAGACAAACGTAGTTGAGTCATAGGCTGGAACCAATTCACTGGGGAGAGGCGGAAAAAAATAAATATATTAGAGTTGAATAACATGACGTTAAAAATCCCAACTTTTGGAAGCACTTAAGATTATTTAGGTCACCAGAGCCACTAAAATTCACTAGGACTACACTCAGTTATTTCAGCACTTCCGAAAGTTCCATTTACAAGCCTTCTCCCCAGTACCTCTCCATGTGGTATCACACAATAAAACAAATATTTTATGTTAGGAAGGGAAGAGCAACCGGAAGTATTTAAGATGAGTTTCCGTTTTACCTGTGATGGCTAATAATCTCTTAATATGGTGAATTTTTAACGTAAGTCTCCTTGGTAGTTCTAGAAAGGATGAAACTATTTCATGGCTGAAAGTACAAAGCTTAAATGATTTGTGTTTCAGAGCAGGAGATAACTTACTGCCATTGGAAAATGAATATTCAGATTTAAACTCTCCTCAGAGATGCATTTATTCTTTTCAGAAAACATGTCAGGACAATAGTTTTGAGATTGCATTTAGAAGCAAGCCAAACTGATTCTTGCTAGAGAACACAAAATGATTTGAGGAATTCTTCTAAGATGACTTCTACTTTCAATTTTTTGGAGACACTTTTTAGCCAGCTAGCCTAAACTGTCAACAGTCTTCCTCAGTACCCAGCACCAGCAGCACTCTCTTTATGAAGAATTGTGTTATGAAGTGATTTTGGCTATATATTCTGAATTAAGGTGACCTGCAGAGGCATCTCATGAGAGCCTTGCAATTATATACTGAATGACCCAATAATAAGAGAAAAAAGGACAAATCGGTAAACTAAGTGTAAAAAAGAAAAAAATTGTCAGCTGGAACCCACTGTCCTGACTCCCCAGCAAGGACTACAGACATAAAATAAGCCCTGCTGGAACAGAAAAGCCTATTTGCGGCATAGGTTCCTAAGAAGAGTAAGTTAAGCAGTTTATCGTTGTCGGTGTATAAGCATGGACCCAAATTCAGTCAGAGATAGCAAGTTTAACACAGAAACGGACAGAATCATGTTACCCCCCAGATTACCGCTGCTCATATAGCTGAGAAGTATGACTCCCCTTCGCTATAGGTGGGTATCAGGCGAGCTCTCCAGCAACCTATCCATCCTATCATCCACTCTTTCAAACCCACGTTAAAACACAGTGGTACTCTCCCGTCCCAGTTTTACAAAAGGCTGACACACGTAAGAATACATCTACCTCCCACACTCACCACAACATCCTCCTCCATACAGTGGTACAGTAAAATGGGAAAGAGATACTCTCCTCTGAGTTAAACATTTTTTAACAAGCAAAACAAACCTTCATAAGATGGCTTTCAAGTTCAAACTACAACAGAAAGGAAATGCAATGCTTACCTCGTGAAGTCTGGCGGGACAGGAGTAGTGACAAACGAGGCCATAGGCTTCCGATGAACCTGCTGGAACATCATCAGGATCTCTGAACTTTTGGATATCAATTCACTTTTACTGCACGATCGTAACTACATGGAAAAAAACAAGAAAGAAAAAAAACCCTTATGTCATTAGTAGAAACCATAGGTTTTGTCCACTTTTGTTTTTAAACAAATAAATTGCACATCTCACAGCTTCAGAAAGATTACCCACAATGCAATGTAAAATGAAGCTTGGATTGTTTTGGGGTTGGTTTTTTTGACGCTTGTTTGGGTTTTATTTCCCATGAAACTGTCAGCTCTTAAGACTAAGAATTTGCCTACAATAGCCAATGGTCGTATGTTCTAAAATTTCTGTTAGGAAATTAAAATAGATATTCTGTCTCACTCCAAAGTCTGTGCAACCCATTAAGTCCTGAATATTTAAGACTCTGCCAAATTCCACAATGAAAGCTACAGCAACTACTGTGTACTTCACTTAGGTTAAACTTATTTATATATAAGATGTTCGATTAATACCAAGTCACATCTATTACTGTGTTTACACAACAATAAAGTAAATCAATCTGGAAAGGACGCTTAATTAGACATTGGGAAAATTTCCTCAAATACATCACAACACAGCGATACAAGCTCCTGTGACATTAGATAGCTCTTTTACATTTTAGTTATTCCTTTACTGCCGTCTTGCCAAGCACCATACTTTTTTTTGTTCATCCCAATTTGAACAAAACGAAGCCTATATTATCTTCAATAGCAGGCCAAAAAACCCACTTCAATCCACTTCATTCGAGGTATCTTACAAAACCAGTGTAATAACAAAGGTCTTTTCAAAATCTGAAAAAAATAAAATAAAATCTAATCTTACATGTTCCTTGAATAGCTAGTACTGTATTTTCTAAACCTCTTTACTAAAGGAGACAAATCTACTCTGCTTCTTATTTATACTTTAAACATTGGAAAAACATATCTTACACTTACATTTCAAACTTTCTGTCAGGCTTAAGTGAGACTAATATGTACATTTTAAAAAGTCACATTTTCGCTATGAGTTCTTCAAATAATTCTATTACTTCCAGAAAAAGAATATGAAATTCAAAGCCTCTCTTGACAAAGACATATATGATGACTTTAAACAACCAGTGGAGACCTACACTGTTGCCAGATATCTGCATCTTCTCACAATTTTTTTTAGTTAGTAAGTTTTCCTCTGATTTTGGAGGGAGAAGAGGACATGTTTCACTAGCACCAATTTGTAACTATTTTAATGGTTTGATTTTTTCCTGCAAAAGAGAAGCTGATCTGCAGTTGCATAGGCACTGCTATTCAGGATTTAGAAGGTCCTCATTTGGGCTGCAACACAGTAATTTCTGAATGATCTATACACAGAGAGCTCTCAGCAAACAGACAAAAAAAAATACGCTGATGCATGGTATGGAGGAGCACTCATCCTCCTGATGTCATCGATTCTTCAACTAAGACATCCCATCATAGGTATGAAATAATCAACTGAAGCGCAAGAACAACATGATAATTGCTGATCTGGTGATAAAGCCAGCTTAGCATTCTTACTGAATTAAAAGCAGTGCAAGGAATGAAAGAGGAATACAGGACAAGAGGCATCACTCAAAGAAGCTTAGCCCCCAACCTAAAACGTCAAACTCTGCTGAAAGGTAATTACTGGATGCAGTAATGCTTGAAGGAAGAAAACCCTTCCATTTCCTCAGAGCAAGCAGACGTTGTTCAGGGCACGTACAATCAAGCTCTGCAGAACTTGAATATTTCATTTACAAAAGCTGAACTTACATAGCAAGAAGCAAGATGAAAAAAGTGATACCATGTCATCTTCTTGGAAAGACAGGTGGAGAGGAATAAAAGAACTAGAACCAGTTCGGTTTTCCTCAAAAGCACAAAGAGAAACAGAACATTTCTGTTTATTCTCCATTTATAGCCACCGCTATTCATATGCAGTTGGCAGCAGCAGGACTAACAATCTACCCACACCATCTAAATGCTAAGTTACCTTAAACAAACACTTAACTGTAGTTTTATATATTGCTATTAATCCCTGTACTAGTTTTTCAAGCAACAGAAGAGAACAATTTTCATTATTTCTAGAAGACATACTTGTTTTTAAGAAGAAATTGTGCAACCTAAGGCCACTTAAACGAAAAGATACCCGCAAGAAATATCCATCAACTACTAGTTTAAAAATACATAAACTAATAAGAAAGGCCGACTGAGGAGGGATCTATGTAACACAGCATTTCAGCTCTTTTCATAATCACCTGATGTTCTACTTCTTGAAGCAGGGATTCCAGAAGTTCAGTTTCTTGAGTAAGTGATGTCTTTTGACCTGTTTAAAGAAAAGACGACATGTTTAAAGAAAAAGAGACATACACACTGGATTTTAAGAAACTGAGCTTTTTTTTTCCTCCTTTTTTTTTTTTTTAACCTGGAAGCTGCCCCAGAACCTACTAAGGTAAAGGATTTCTAAATATACCAAGGTTGACTGAGAAAGCATTTTAAAAGCAAGCCTGCGTTTTTAATTAGAGCTGTAGTGAAGAACTCACTTGAGGTTAAGACAGTAATGAAATACTGTCCCAGAAATGGCAGGTTTGTTGTTTTGGGGTGCTTTTTTGTACCAAAAAAAAGGTTTGACTTCACTGAATTCGCTCTCACCCAGACAAGCTGTTGTGGTTTAACCTCAGCCGGCAACTGAGCCCCACACAGCTGTTTGCTCACTCCCCCCCCCACCCCGGTGGGATGGGGGAGAGAATTGGAAGAGTAAAAGTGAGAAAACTCGTGCGTTGAGATAAGAACAGTTTAATAATTGAAATAAAATAACAACAACAAAAAATAATAATAAAAAGAATATACAAAAGCAAGTGATGCACAATGCAACTGCTCACCACCCACCAACCGATGCCCAGCCAGTCCCCGAGCAGCAGCCCCCCCCGGCCAGCTTTCCCCCAGTTTCTGTACTGAGCATGACGTCCC